ATGTATAATAATGTCAATTTTATTTTATACAATCGTTATAGTGCTGTATAAAAATTAAAGGATTTTCATAAAAAATATTTCTAAGATAAATTTATTACTGTGAAAAACAATATTAAATTAGAAATTTTATTTATGTAATAAATAATTTTACATATTTGGTTTAGATAATCTAGTTTAACAGCAATTTCTGCGATAAGCTTAAGAATTGTACCGCGTGATTTTATTTAGTTCAAGCATTTACTTTTGGCGGTTTTCAACTGTATTTTTCGTATGTACGTATGTTATACGATATCTTCGCAATTCAAATTAAATCAATTCTGACAAATTTACTCTTAAAATTTGTTAGACTCCTAAAATTTCGGTCTAAATTTCTCTTGTATCAAATTAATTTTGTTATAATTATCAATTACTCGCTATAATATTAAAAAAAAAAAATAGTATGAGACTTTTTTTTATACAAGTTAGAATGGCAAACAAGCTGACGGTCCACCTGATGGAAAGTGGTAACCGTCGCCTATAGACATGAGACTGTCACGTCAGTAACATTTTCGATAATCAGATAAGTGAAAAGGTACCACATTATCACAAACACAAATAATTAAGGTAACACAAAGAAAAAGTCAATTTCAAAAATGGCAACACCGGTTATTTTGATTTAAAAACTAAACTTTTTCTTTTACTATTTATTCTGATTTTAAAAATTAAACTTCTGAACCGATGTTGATAAAATTTCTATTGGAGCAATCTATACGTACATCCTTTGAGATAAAAAAGAGTTTTTCAAATCGGTTTACAATTAAGAGGTAACAAACAAAAAAAAAAAAAACTATCGAATTGAGAATCCCCTTTTTTTTAAAGTCGCTTGAAAAAGGTCAAATATCTATCTATCTTATTTAAGAGCTGCGCTCTTGTCGGTGGAGCTCTTGCCACTCGCTACGATTTCCAGTGAGTCTCTTCACCTCTTGATACGACACGACACCAACTCCTTCCTTGATCTGCCTGATGTAACTATGCCTTGGTCTCCCTCTTCCCCTTCTTCCTTTTATCTTACCTTCCATTATAATGTTCATAAGTTCGTTGTGTCGTATCAGGTGTCCCAAAATTTTTTCCCTTCTGTCCTCAATAGATAACCTTATTTTTTGAAGTTACGTAAAAAATTAATCGGTCGATCTTTACCCCGGAAGAGGGGTAAAACTTGTGAATCGATTTTGCCGCATTGAATACGCAGGTAAGTACGGTCAGCATTAACAGTCGATTAACATTAACAAGAAGATTATATTAAATCTAAAATCTTGTACAAACCTCTTCATCTTGTACCTACGTTAACAATTACAGTATTTTGTCATTTTCATTCTTTAAAAGAAAGAGACAAAACAGTTTAATAGCTAAAATAGGGTTATGAGTTACGTTTGACGTTTTTAAGAATAGGGGGGGGGGGTAAGATTATCAAAATCCCTATACTTTTTAGCATATAAATTGTCATTGTATATGAACAACTAATTCGGATCATTTTTTTTTATAACACAGGGCGCAAACTAGCATGCGGCTCACCTTATAGTAAGTGACAACAGCTGCTCATGATCACATGCAACACCACAGAAATGGCAAGTGTTCTGCTGGCCTTTTGAAAAGGAATACGCTCTTTTCTTGAAGGTTATATACGATTGTCCATCCAAGTCTGGTGCTAATTTTGTCTAATGATTATTTCTTGTAATTGTTTATATTTATAATAAGTTTACTATTGTAATGTTTTGGAGGAAACAATAAAGAGTGTCTATCTATCTATCTATCTACCTAATCTTGCTAAGTTATATATGCAACGGTGTAAAGTTTCGGAAATCTTTACGTATTTATTTATTTATTTATTTATTCATTAGTACAAATAAGTGTACATGGCGGACTTAATGCTAAAAGCATTCTCTCCCAGTCAACCATAGGGAAGTATGAGAATACTTGAATGCGGTACTACTAATTATTGATATACATACATACTAAAATTACATATATAAACGAATAAATATATATGAATAACAAATGTACTTACACATATATGACAAATACTATATTATACACGAATTTGGGAATAATATAAAGCGCTTACTGCTCGGATAAAGATAAAAAGTGAGCGTGAACGCTATATGTGTGCATCGACTGTATTTGCTGACTGTACTTTATATGCAAATACCGTTAATTTATTTGACGAACAGTGAACGTTGCCCGACCGTGCGGGACGAAAGTATGCAATTATTTACTAAAGATGTACGTACTATAAGACTAATATATCCAGGTAGAACAGAATTTTAACGGATTCAATAATAATAATACTCTAAAGGGATGGTCTATTCTATGCCGTATAATCCTGGCATAGAATGGACCATTCCTTCCTTTACCGTGGGTGTCGTGAGAGGCGACTAAAGTAACTTAATAATTTAGAGATGACAGGGATGATAGACAGTTGTGATAGTTATATGTATAACAGTTATTCTATGTTTATATATACATATATAAACATATATATGCATTTATTTATAGTATTTTATATAGCTACTAAAAATAAAATTTATTATTTATCATATTATTTTTGCGAAATATGTTATGCTTATACAAATCCTCTAGATATTTTCTCCCTTTGGGTTCTCAAGGTTGATTGGAAGTAATCCTTAAAAGGGATAAATCTACCTGTGTATATTTTTGTTATAATCTAATACCTATTATATATAAAAAGAGAATGTACAAAAGTAAATAAATAAATAAATGAATGAATGAATGAATAAAGAAATAAATTCATGATAACCAGCCCAACTTATGTATGATCTGAAAGGATATAATTTTTTTTATATCATTGAGGTGGCAAACAAGAATACGGCCCACCTGATGGTAAGTGGTTACCGTAGCCTATGAACACCTGCAATACCAGGATTACAACGCGCGAGTTACCGACTCCGAAGAAACCTCTACCCCCCTTTTGAAGAACCCCATGCTGTAGTCTCTTGGGAAAATCTCGGCAGGGAGCTCATTCCACAACCTGAGTGTTCAACATTTACAAAGTATATAAGTGTCCCTTCCACCCAGTCCATTTTTACACCCGGTACCGTCACATCAGGTGAGTTCCTATCGAGATTCGATCGAGAAATGCAAATTTCTGGGGAACACTCGCCGCGTGCCGGGACGGCTGGATTGTAATAATTCATGATCGATGTTGTACGACGGTCAAGGATTCCAGAAATTTTGAATTAGAATTCGCATTGCCACGATATATAGTGGTGAACACGTACCCTTGGTCTAACAATAATCGAACATATGTATGTCTATTTAAACCATTTGCAAATTTCTAAATCAAAGAGATTCTAAATTCAATCGTGCACTATCTTACGTTTGTATCGTAACAAAAAGTTTTTTTTTTATACCATTAAGGTGGCAAACAAGCATACGGTTCACCTGATGGTAAGCAGTTACTGTAGCCTATGAACGCCAGCAATACCAGGGTATCACGCGCGCATTGTAGACCCCAAAGAAACCTCTTTACAATCCCTTTTGAAGAGTTATTTTGGTTCTACGAGCAATAATGATTATATTATATATAACTTATGTCTAGGTATCATGTGGCTATAGTCATATGAGTTAACTTCATTAATTCAATAAATTAATTAGATTATTAAATAAATATTAATGTACAACTAAATCGTTATGTACAGTTGTAGCTCGTACATCCTGCCAACTCAAGAGAAGAATGTGTACAAAGTATTATAATATAATATAAAATTCCTTTGTATGTTATTTTTTTTTATTGCACTTAGAATGGTAAACAAGCTGATGGCCCACCTGATAGAAAGTGGTAATCGTCACCTATAGACATGAGCAGTACCATGGACATAAAAGAGTATACTGTTTCACCCATGATACTCCCCATGCGTTGCCATTCCTCAGGATTCAGATGTTATTCCTCTGTACCCTGTAATTTCACCGCCATATCCCACCCTTCAATCTGAAACACAGCCATGCAAACACAACTGCTTCACGGTAGAAACACGAATGGGACAGAGGTACTCAAGCAATCGACTTTTGTACAAAGTCTCCCTCTGGTAGTTGGCATCATCTAGAAGTGGTTTAAATTGATTGGCCTCTTTCTAAAAGCCACACGTACAAAGTAGCGGGCAAAGAGATATATTAAAATAAAAATAGTAAGATAAAATTAATTGATATAATTGTTATCACATTTGAAGTCATTGCTTTTCCCTTGCGAAGTAAAACCTAACTTATTTCGAATAATTTTGTTATGACCAAACTATCTTCAGTACGTATTAGAATTTGGTATAAATTATTTCGAAAGTCTGAAAGTTTTAGAATCCTAACATAATTAAAATGATTAAAGCTTTGATGGTAATTGAGGTCATGTAAATATTACAAATACGTAATTTGTGTATTATATATTTGCATTCAATACATTCAAAATTAATTGATTCGTATTGCATGATCCGGTCTCGAGGTTAATCAATACGTACAATTCCTATAACGAGTGTCTGAATCTTGATATATTTCACGACCACCCAAAGTCATTCAAGAATGAAATTCTAAAAATTCTCTCATAATGCTACCATAATTTTTTAACAACTAATAATTTTAATACTGTGTACATAGTTTTTAATTATTCTATATTTTAAGTATCGATTGATGAATGTGGAAGAAGCGAAAGAGGTTTGTTTGAATCGAAGCATTTGGCGTTCCATTGTTTCTGCCTACCCTAATGGGAGACAGGCGTAACAGATATGTATGTATGTATGTATTTTAAGTATTCTTATGTTATCACCTGTATGTTTTTTTTTATTGTTTTCTTGGTGTCAGTTTTGTTAATATGTAATCGATGACTTAAGAAAATGTCGTGTACATCTGTAATTAGTGTAAATGCAAGATGCAAGCCCTGTATATCAATTAAAATTAATGTCTGTATTTACACTTTTAAAATAAATAAATAAAATAAATAAATATTCATTGGGACTCACGTTCGTGATCCGGCCGGTCGTATGTAGATCTCAGCATGCCTGTGAACAATAAAAAAATAATATTGTAATGTTTCTGTTTAGATCGTCATCATCATCATCAAATCAGACGTCATCTGTCCACTGCTGGACATAGGCCTTTCTCTATTTTATTGGCAATTAATGTTTTCACTCTTTCTATTGGGGGTTTTTGCCAGTAGATAGACAGATACTCTTTATTGTTTCCTCCAAAAGATTACAATAGTAAACTTATTATAAATATAAACAATTACAAGAAATAATCACAATGAGAAAACAATAGGCGACCTTATCGCTAAGAGCGATCTCTTCCAGGCAACCTTTGGATAGAGAGAAGTAATTATAAACAGTTTGATCGGAGGCACGATGGAATTCTATTAGATAGATATTCCAGTAGATGCCACAGTTAGGCTTTGATGTTTGAAGATGGATGCCGCTGCCCATCTCTCGACCTCAATGGTCCCTTAGTCGCCTGTTATGATACCTATGGGAACGAAAGGTATGGCCCATTCTATGTTAGGACCACATGACATTGTATTTACATCGAGTGGTCGTGGTTTTTATGGTGATAGTGGATCATCAATGAGGCCTTCCTTCGCGACTGAGGTCCTCGCAATGCGTCTCCATCTCCTTCTGCTCACAGCCGAGCGAGAGCATCCCACAATAGACTGCTGTGTGACCATTTTGATGAGGTCAGTCCATCGTGTTGGTGATCTGCCTCGAGAACGTTTGCCTTGTACTAACCCTTGGACAATTAGACGTTCCATACAATTTTCGAAAAATGTCACAGAACTTGAGAATTCGTGTTTAGATAGAAGTTCCTTTTTTTATACTACTTTGATGGCAAACAAGCCTTATGGCCAGTCTGATAGTAAACGGGGTTACCGTAGCCTATGGACGCCATTATACCAGGAATGACGTTTCTTAAGAAACCTTCTTTAATACGCTTTCTTTAAAGAACCCTATTCCTAATAGACGAATGGTGAAATAAAGATAAAATCTTCATTTAAAGCTGTGTTGAGCAAATAACTGAAGGTTTTGCATCGCAAGAAAACGGAGCTCCGTTGAGTTCGTTGATTTCTATGAAGACTCCTATACCGCCTCGAGTTTATTCGATAAAAAGTAAGATAATAATAATATAATTATTATAGATTTTTTGTGGAGCAAAAATTTACTCTTACTAAAATATGCTTTGCGGAGCAAAATTCATTGCGTCTACGCAACATCTAGTCATTTATCGGCGCGTTTTATTCATTTTAAAATAGGAATAATCCGATTTTTATATAAACAAATATTTTCTTTATTATACTATTATTTTGAAGAGCAAAATTTACTAAGTAACCATCCTAGACAAGGTATAAATAGAATCGCTTCGGTCAGTGTATGCATGAGTAAGAACAAGACAGCGCACGTTCTCCATCTCATTCTGTTTTATCGACTCGCTAGCGATAAAGATTGTATCGATAGTTTCCTTTTTTTTTGATGGGTGAAAATGGTATGGTAACCCCGCCTGCGCTAACGGGATACATTGGCGGAGCACCAGTGAAGGGTGATAGATGAGAATGAAAACAGGCTAGTTAACCCATCATGATGAATTAATCAGGAATTAACCATGATAGTTTCCAGAGAGAACCGCGAGGAGGTCGACCTGGTTGGGTATAAACGATAGTTTTCTTTGTATTTTATCTAGGAAGTTGCATTTAAAAAAAAAACACCCAATATACAAGCGTCGAATAAATTTAAATTAATAGCAGAGTCGAGTGGCAAATTAAATTTTCATTCATCAATTACGACACTTTAGTCATTCATTCATTCATCATTTTACATTCATAAAACTATGTACAGCCGACGACAAAAGCGCGCGCCAATTAGTTTGTTTAACGTGGTATGCTCCCGTTGCCATGGCGACCGGTTCCAACCGACACGTGTTAATTGCACTACTGTACGGCATTTTGTATTATTTAGCACCTTCTGTATAATCTTTTAGTACAATATATGGCTTGAACTCATTCGTTTACGGTATAGATTGATTGTTAAATTTTATTGGTGTGATAGTTGTAATAGCAAAAGGTATAAAAACCTAATTAAAATATGTTCTCACGTTTGCAGAAGAGAGGGAGTTAATGTTTTACAAGTGCACGAATGATATGTAAGTAATTATATATGTTACGATCTTCTAATCAATATGTTTATTTATTTATTTACACTTTATTGCACCAAGTAAAAAGAGAAATAACAAATACAGTAAATATTAATGAGAAGTGATACAAAAGGCGGCCTTATCGCAAAGCAATCTCTTCCAGACAACCTTTGGGTAGAGGACATTGAGAAAAAGACAGAGGGTAGGTGGTGCACTATTATATAAATATTATCACATACACACATATATACATACATACATATATATACATATATAATATATACACAATTAAATATATACATAACATACACATACTTAACAGCACACATACAACAGAAAAAAAAATGTTGGTTAGAAAGCTTAGATTTTTATAAGTTAACGACTCTCAAAGCATGAACATTTTAGTTAATAAGATCGGAGTAGGTAAAAAACAAATTTGGCAAGTGTAAAATGTCAAAATCTTAACTTATATAAAATTTTATAATAATACTTTTAGACTTTCGGCGCTGCATGACTTTGGTATATATATACATATATACAAACTATGGCAAAATCTTGTAAAACATTTGGTATTTTAATTTTTAAACTTCGCAGTAGGGTTATTTGTAATTTTGTCATACGCATTTGTTTATTTATTCTCTGTAAATATTGTGTTATTCTAGAGTACACGTATTAATCTTATGAGAGAAACAAATAGAGTGAATAAGGCGAGCATATATCAGTTAGACATATATAGTAATATCGAAGAAAATATCATACATACACATACATATATTACATACACATACATAATCTTTGACGACCATAGATTAAAAAAAAACTCAAGTTCAAACATCACGAGCATGTCTAAATTAATGTTATCTCACAATGTATTTTTGTATTTGACAATAAATACAAAAACAAGATAAATCTTAATTTTAATATTTAACACTTTTGTGTGTATATGTAGTTTGATACAAAAGAAATACGCAGATAATAGGTACAAAATATCAACAATAGAAATGTGACTTTGACGTAGAGCAATAAGCACGAATTTCACTTAGCAGAAAAAATAATGTCTCCTACATTGAAGACGAATAAATTCGTGATACAGAAATATTATTTTATATCTAGGTATAGAATTACTTTGTTTACCAATGCGTAATAATATTTTTTATGAATAACCAACATGGCGGCATAGTGCGTAGCCTGAGGACTCTTGTGAGAGAGAAAATTTGTTTTGCAAATAACATTCCATTCCGTCGCCAGATGGCGGTGTATATTATTTCATTGTGTGCGCACCATAGACTCGCTCCTTCAATATCGAGGGTGAGAAAATGTGAAAATTCCTTTTCAAAACACCATTGTATGGGATGGATTTAAAGCGCTTGTAGAGTTTATTTTTTAGCGGTTTACGGCGTTAGATTTATATGACTTCTTACACACTTTATATATATTAGTCTCTTTTCAAAGGAGTAGATAGGTAGATGGATACTCTTTAAGCTCTCCTCCATGAGATTAGAATAGTAAACTTATTATAAAAATAAACAATTACAAGAAAATATTACACTGAAAAAACAATGGGCGGCCTTTATCGCTAGGAGCGATTTCTTCCAGGCAACCTTTGGATGGAGAAGAGTAATTATAAACAGTTTGACTGGAGGCACGAAACTGTAATTCTATTATCATTCTATTTGTAACACTGGATATTTTTTCTCAAAGAGATATATGTTTAAAGATGATACAGATTTTCAATACACCTATACTAACATGATATTAACGTATTAGTAAAATACTTTTTAGTTTTATGACCTATATTTACACACACATGTACATACACACACACACACACACACACACACACACACACACACACACACACACACACGCACGCGCGCGCGCACACACACACACACACACACACACACACACACACACACACACACACACACACACACACACGCACGCGCACACACACACACACACATGTTATAAATGACACATATATAGTCACATATTGTTACACAACTTCAAGTGATGATCTGTCATGTATTCATAGTCGTCGAAATGATTTATTTTTTCCCTTTATAAATATTTATATAATATATACATTTTTGTGTTTTACACCTACAATTGGATTTGGTTTTATAAAGAGGGCTACTGCTTTACTAGATTTACATATAAACGGAATTTCAAAAATACATATCATATGTGAGGCATTATTTCTACGGAACCCTATTTATGGGGGAATGAGAAGCAGTCATAAATGCTTGAGCGATTTTTAGAGATTCTAGAACTTCAATTCTTGAAATTCAAGATAAAAGCATATTCCTTTTTAAAAGGCCGGCAGCACACCTGCAATGCCGTTGGTGTTGCGGGTGATCATGGGCGGCGGTAGTCACTTATCCCCTGTGTTGTAAAAAAAAAAAAAAACTAATAAATCGAAAAGCTTTGGATATTTAATTAATTCAAATTATAAAAGTATGAAGTGATTCAACCCTTACTACAAATATGCACTTTACGTAGTCACACACGATCGACAACAAAAAAGGGGAAGCGACAAAAAATCGCCGATATCAGTACAAGTTTGTCGTGCGCCGACGACGTCGTGATCTGTCGCACGTGTCGCTCGATCGGAAGCCGATCCGATAACTGTTTAGTGTTGTCCAATAATCGATGAGAATCGATTATCAATCGAATACCCTTACATAATAAAAAAAATCGTTGTGATATACATAATTTAATAATTGATTCATCATATCAGCCGGTGACTGTCCAATGCTAAACATAGGCGTCCCCCTAAGGGAGTTTTGTTAGTAATTGGCACACTTAACAGGTGGGTTGTTAAGCGCAGTTTTTGGTGATGTTTTAAGACTGACGCTGCCATTAATCCTTCGACCATTAA